AATCTTATTCTAATTATCGTATAGTTATCTATATTTATAAGTATTATTTTCTTTCCGAAATCGACTATTATTATAGCTAAAATTTCCTAAATCTTCTATTTCTATTTCTAAGGTTTTATACTTCTTCTATCTTTATATAGAAACTACTATTTTTTAGTCTTTAAAGTTAAATAGAATTAATAGTCGTCTTCGTAATAGAAGTACTATAATTCTTAAGCGTATCTTATAGTATTTCTCTTCGTATTATATATTACTTCGCTCTACTATTCTTTCTTTAGAAGTTCGTCGAACTTTTCTTTCTTCTAAGTCTTATACTTAGATTTTTTAGGCTTCTTAGTCTAATATCTTAACTAGAATTCTTCTTCTAATTACTTAATATTTAATTTATTTAATCCTCGAGGATTATTCGATTCTTAGTAGTTCTTCTATACTATTTTACTCTTACTCTCGATAGGTCTTTAGGTTTCTTTAATAGTATTAACCTTTTTCGCTATTAAGCCGTCTATACTATCGCTCTATATATTTATTATAGATAGTCCTCGAGCGCTCTTTTTCTCTAGATAATCGCGTATATAGTATTTAAACTTACTATATTCGTAGTATAAGTTTTCCTTTCTTTATTTTTCTTTTTCTCGATTTCGTCCTTCTATAGTCTTTCGCTCTATATTTCGGCTTCTATCTAGGCTTATTCGTCGAGTATTATAACGTTCTATAGCGTCGAGGTCTATAGAGTTCTCGTAGTCTCGTAGGCGTTTCGTATTAACTTAAAGAGAATATCGATATCCTCGATACCCTCGTCTTTCTAAGCTTCTTCCTTAATTATTTTATATACGTAGTTCGTATAGTTAATTATTAAGTTTAATAGCCTTATCTACTATATCTTTATATATTTCTAGGCGTTCTATTATTTCCTTTCTAACTTCCTTCTTTAATCTATTATAGAATATATCCTTAAAGATATTATTATCTATATACTCTAGTTTCTTTACTAGTTTCTTAAATTCCGAATAATAATTAGCTATAGATTCTATTTATTTAAGGATATAGATAGTACGAGAGGCTACTATAGTCTTATTAATCGTACTATAAATCTATTTAATTATTATTTCGAACTATATAAAGTTCTTAAAGTATATTCTAGTTTTATCGTCGGAGCTAGAAGACTCGAGGTAGTCGTTCTATACTAGTTTAAACTAATAGAACGCTACTTCTTTAAGGTATATTACTATAAATATAACCTTATCTTCTACTCTAGTATACTTAGTTAGATTAAGCTTAAAGGTAGTCTTAAGTTATATAATAAAGTATTCTAGCTTCTCTCTATTTCTATAGAATAGTTCTACCTTAATACTATTCCGAGATATATTAGTAAGTCCTAGTACGTTAACTATATCTATATCTAAGTCTTCGTTAGAACTACTATCTTAAACGATATTAGTCTTTAAGGAATTATTTAAGGCTATAAGTAGACGTACGCTAGATAGTAGGAATTTAATTCGAGATAATCCTACGTTAGATATCTAATATTAATTAAGTAGTAGTTAAAGTATTATAATTCGAGCTATAAGTAGTTCTAACTAAGGTAGGGTTCCTTAATAGAGTAGGTACTAGAGTATCGACTAAAATAATAAAGGAAATTTACTTCTCGTCGGACTATATTCTAAATATAGGTATAGGATTACTAACGAAGTTAACTACGAACTATACTATCTAGGTAAAGGAGCGTATATATATAATACTTAAAGTACCGCTCTAGTGTATTACTATATTATTCTAATATACTAATATATTAATGTACTCCCGGTTACGTAATATAGCCTCGTTCTCTATCGACTAACCTTCCTTAAGCTGTTCCTCGGAACGTAGGGCGCCTATCCCGGCGACCTTATCTATAACCTAGTCCGTAATAACTACGTATAAGCGGCGCTTAGTCTATAATAGTTATTCTCCTCGCTTACGCCCTAGGTAATAATATTTATATCGTCGACGAAGCCGAATCCTAGAATATTATTATTCTATATTTATAGTATTTCTAGTAGTTCTAAGATATAGAATAGAAAGAAGAGCGACGATAAGGAGGAGCCTTATAGAATACCTATATTTATCTAGATCTAGTTACTTATATACTTCGTGTACGCGATTCGCGTACGCCTCCCCTAGAAGAAGTCTACTACGATATTAACTAGCTAGTCCGGAAGTCCCTTTATATATAGTATTCCTAGTAACTTCTCGTAGAGTATATATTAGAGCGGATGCTATAGCCCCTAGCGATTAAGCTAAAAAGACGTAGAGTATCGATACTTCGTGTCGATATCTCTAGTAATCCACTATATATACGTACTCCTTAGTATTCCGTGACAACTATCCCCCCCCTTAGGCTATACTCGTCCCTAAGTACTAAGGACTTTTTACGTAACGATAGGCTTCTTTTAGGTAGCCCCTACCTTAAGACTCGTTTATAGTTAGTCTCTAACTTAGGAGTCGTATATATATAGTACCGCCTTAAGCCCTATAAAAAACTTAAGTGCTTTAAACGAGACTCGAACCCTCGCTAGTTACGTACACTAACTCCGCGCACGGATATCGTATATAAATCGTAGCCTAGTCCTAGAGTACTCTCGTACGAAGTATCGATATAATTGTTAGAGCGGATGCCATAGCCCCTAGCGATTAAGCTAAAAAGACGTGGAGTATCGACACTTCGTGTCGATATCTCTGGCAATCCACTATATATACGTACTCCTTGGCATCCCGTGACAGTATATTATCGAATATCCCTACGATATCTAGGCTAAGTATCGATATAATAGCGCTAGATCGCGCCTTCTACGTAGTCTTAATATATACTATTAATAAGCTAATCGTACTTATTATCGACCTATTCTATCTCGCTCCTATCTAGTTCTATAGTAGGAGCCTATTGTTACGGACTAGATTATAGATAAGGTCGCCGGGATAGGCGCCCTACGTTCTAGGGAATAGTTTAAGGAAAGTTAGCCGATGGAGAACGAGGCTGCATTACGTGACTAGGGAATATATTACTATATTATTATATTGGAATAATGTAATAATGCACTAAAGCAGCACTTTAAGCATTAACGTAATCCATAAGCTAGTAGAACATATAAGCTAGTGGAACACTAATCCACTACTACTACTCTTCCTACTTACTCTATTAACTACAACGACGCTAAATCGCACCTAATTCGCTATTAAGCTATTATATTTAATGCTTAATACGTCCTAAAGATGTGCCCTATCGTACTACACCGTCTATAACGCCGCTAAGCGCCCGTAACGCGAATAATAATAGTATCCTCGTCCTCCTCGTCGGACTCGTCTACGTACTCTTAACGTATATCGCTCGTACTAAGTAGCTTACTATTCTTAATATACTTTCTACTAGTCGTCTTCCTCTTCTTCCTTATATAAGCTCCTCTAGCTCCGTAATTCGCTCCTATACTAGCTAGAACGCGTAAATAGCGTACTTAGTAGCCTTAGCTATCTATACGACGGCTAGTTTAGTTAGACTAGGAGTTAGAATAGTCTTTCGCTTAAGCGATTTCCTAAGAGTACGAGCGTACTTCTAAATCTACTTAACTATCCGCGGCGTCTCCGAATCTTTACCCTACTCGAGCTCCTAACTCGACGGAAGTAAGAGAGGCGGCGTAGGCGTACGAAATACTAGCCTTAATTAATCGAGTATAACGCTTAGATCGTACGATCCTAAGTCGGCTACTCGAAAGCCTACTCTCGCGTTATACTCCGTAAACGCCTCGGAGCGAGCCGCTATATATAGGCGTAGGAAGTCGTTCTTATCGACGTAGTATTAATTTAGGCGTATTAGCTCCTTAATTCGCCTTCTATACGCTCGCTTAAACGACGAGAAGTACGCTATATTAAGCGGCTAGAATAAGTAGAAAGTATATAGCGGTATAAAAAGCGCGATAATATCGTACTTCGTATAATAGTTATTAAATTCGGGCGTATTATAGCTATAGTAGCTATCTAGAATAAGTAATCGGTATTTACCTCGCCTCGAGCGCCTAGTAGACGGCTCGAAAACCTCTTAAAGTTACTATAAGCCTATCTTATCGTTCGTCTACTTCGTCTCGCTAACGACGAGCTTCTAGTTAGTATACTCGTTATTTTAAAGCTCTTAGAACTACTACTCCTAGTAGACCTTACTAGCGAAGATAATTAATAAATCTAATATTCTCTTATCTACTATAATCGTTTCGATTATCGTCGTCTACGTATAATTATTAGGCTAAGTAATAATAGGCCGACTATATCGCTTAGAGCTAGTTATAACTCGAGCTATAGAGATTACTCTTATCTAGAAGCTCGTCTTATTAAAGTTCTAAATATTATCGTCTACTACTCTATATTTAGCGATAACGTTTCGTACTAAATTAAACTATATCTAGATAACGCTAGGGTCTTTATAGAGAGCTCGCTACGAGTCCTTCTTCCTAAGGTAATCTAAACGTAATTCGGAGCGTCGACGGACGAAGTTCGTAGCCTAATTAATACCGATAGTAAACGGCGTTATTAGTATACTACGAACGCGCTTAGTAAGTAGTATATTCGCTTTTCTACTAACGTCGCCTATTCTAGATATATATCTACGTAAATTTATATCTAATATCTATCGTACTAGGACCTCTTCTTCCTACTAAGTAAGCTTTCGAGTCCTAGTAGGCGTACTACGCTAGGGAGCGCCGCCCCTAAGTCGACGCGTTAATATTACGTATAGGATATCGTACGCGCGCGCTACGGCCCTAATACTAGCGATTTTACCCTCTTATATAGCTTTAATGGCTATAGTAAGCCTCCCTTCTTGTTTTAAATGAATAGAGCTTATGGTGGTGGAGATATTAATGGTAATGGATGGGTTAATGGGTGGTGGTGGATTAGTGTTCCACTTACTTATGTGTTCCACTAGCTTGTGGATTACGTTATTGTTGAAATGGCTAAGAATTTTCAGTCCACTTTTTCAGATGATTGAGTCTAGTTGCAAAATTGTTCCGGAGAAACTCGAGACAAACAAAGATCAGGCAGGCCATCAACGTAACGTGAAGGCAATCTGAGTCATCGGAGCATTCCTCCTCAATAGCTGGATCGCTTTATTGTACTGCTGGATGGCGAAGTGACTCAATGAAGCAGTCGAGGCGCCAGAATCAAGAATTCCCTTTGGAATGAGAGCGTTGGGTCTAGACTTCAGTTGGCTGTCTCTGCGGTAATGTCCATAGACAGCGCTTAGACTTGAGAGAGCGTGCTGTAGAACGGGCTCGGTCACACGCCGTTGAAGCATTGGAGTCCAGAAATCGGAATCAAAGACGCCAAATATTTCTGGCACAGCTTCGCTTCGGAGATAGTCGAAGCTTCGACGTTCCCATGGCCCAAGTAGGGAACTGGTGGCCAAAAGTGTGTCGCTCAAGATACCGGAGCAAGCTTCGCTTTTGTGTCGCCTGCACGTCCCCTGGACCTGTGAATGCTCCGATGTCGCTAGATTTGAGCGACTATAGCCCTCGCATTTTCTTCCAGTAGAGGTACAATTTTTGCATTGAGGTTTTTGCTCATCGCATTTAACCCTGCGAATCCTGTAATCATTAAGCGCGTTTCCAATAATCAGGAGATTGTGGCCTTACTTGCACACCGAGCATCCTGTTCGAACCCTAGGTGCACTCGCCTGAGGCCTATACTGTTTCGCAATGGGTGTCGGTGCTTTGTTTCTCGGCCGCTTTACTAAGTATACACATGCAAAGGTGAGGGAAGGGTGTCAGACGAAGTGACGAATCAATTGCCCAAGCCTGAGAGTGTGTCTTACAGGGTTTAATTGGAAGTTTTTTGTGGGAGGTAGCATCCCCTCGCATACTGCGGATGTATGCATGGAGTTCGAGCGCTTGGCACGAACACGCATATCGCAAGGCGAACCTTACTGATATAACTAGCCGTTGATATTTAAGAAAGAAAAAGAGCCAACATTCTCGTTTCGGCGTTCGAAGCAAGAAAGAAGGCTGCTCCCCCTCATCCCCCGCAGCCCCTCCAATTTAGGCTGAGGCGGCCTCGGGCTGGATAACTTCAACAAAGAGGGAAGCTGATGGCTCCAGCTGGCTCCCGATAAATTCCGTCATAAATTGATTAAGTAGCTTGAGAGGCTTCAATGGGGCCGAGGGGCCGCTATTCGCATCTTTACTGTTCATCGTACTTGGTGGCTTACGAAGCAGACTACTAAAGTTAATGGGTAGCTACCTAGGTAGTTCAGCACACCGCTTGACAATGGCACCACTGATTTCAAGTATTGTAGTTTTTGCCGATGAGACTCAAATCAAAAAGCTTTATCATAATGAATTGAGGATGCATGAAGACACAAGTTCTCAGCAACATGAAGGAACCCAGAAGAGCGTAAGCCAGTTCATGGTTGTAAACACCAGACCATGAGCCAAAGTACGTTCCCCTATCAAAGCCTAAGTATTAAAAATCCTGTCGCTAGTCACAATTCATTCCTAGGTTTGGAGTTGGCTCTTATGCATTGAGCGCAGTCTTTGCACGCAAAGCCTCCTGTGGAGCTGCCATGTCCGTCTGGCCTGGTGAAGGTTCCACACCTTCCACGGTATCATCCCAGAGGTGCGCAACATATTCCTCCTTGTCAATATCTCGATAGAGGCAATAGAAGACGACAGCGAGAACAAATCCCACAATCGAGGGCCCCGCAAATGCCCAAGTCAGATATGGGTCACGAATGATTCCTGCAGTTGCCAGAGAAATCGCTGCAGCAATAGCCGTCATCAAAAGATTGATAGCTAAAACCAAACCTTCCATATTTGGAGGTGATCGTGAGTACGCAACGCTATAAGCGGTGACATTGCAAAAGATTTCTGACATCGCCGAGACAGCAGTCGGAATAGCTGTCCACCAAATCGTGAGAGGAGATACCAGGGCCTCACCATTCTCGTTGACACACGTGGATGCACGATTTCCACAGGGTGATGTCCGATAGATGTAATATTGAATGATAGCCCATCCCGAGGAACCGATTGCAGCGAACATGAATCCACATGTGATACGTGATATTAGCCCCCATCTTATACGAAATCGTCTCAATGTAGGATAGATGATGTGGTTCATGATGGGCAAAGCACATATGATGGACAATGAGTTGATATTGTTGACCACGTCATTAGGAACTCCGTTGGTCGTCATCGAATTGCTTTGAGCATTCACAGCAGCGCCGAGGCCTGCAGAGTTGATCACGTTTATCGAAAAGAAGAGAAAGATTCCACATGCCTGAAATGTACGGCGAACATCCTCGACAAATCTGTCGTTCCAATCGACCTTGCGGGTGTCCCCAGCAAGCGCAAGACTGGTTGGTGTGGCTGCATTAAGACCATTGCGTCGGAATATGCCAATGGGTCCATTCTTTTTCAACGCAATGAAGAGAACCCTGAAGATGTTGCCTAAATCACTTCCCCCCGGGGGCTGCTTCTTGAGATTTTTGTTCGCGATCCACAATACCAGGGGCAAGAACAGGTAGAGGACTCCAGGAAGCGTGAAGGCCGCCCAAAATCCAACAAGTTTCGCCAGATAAGCAGTGGGAACTCCCGTGAAGCCTCCGATGTTGAGGAGAAGATAGAACCACAACATGATTGAGTCATTTGTCGCCTCGGGATCTGCAATGACTCTCTCGCCACTTTTTATCCGTCTTAATAATGGCATGCCGGAGTGGGTTTTGGTCGAGGATTGTTGGATTGATGTTAGGCTTGAAAGTCGCTGTCATTTGTTAATCTTCTCGCTACTTGTCAACTAGCGAGGAAACGGGAATACCTGATCCAATTGCAAGAAGATAAACACTGAGATAAAATGGTCCTTCTGCATGGCCTGCTCTGAGTACCGATGGAATACCGGCGATAATCATGACAATATGGGCGATCAGCATTATGACAACTCCAAAACAAATCGTCTTGAAGCGATCAAATTTCGCATCTGCAGCCCATCCAGCGAAGAGTGGCAGACCGTAACCAAGGAACGCAAACGACGATATAACAGCGGATGCAACGACAGAGCCTTTGCCCAAGGCGCCTACATTCTGTTGAGTACTTTGGGCGGTACACCTGATCTAGATTGAAAGGTATCATGTCAGAAGACTTGAATTTAAAATGGCCTCTGTCATAACTTACCCACCTCCACCCACTGGCAACGGCTTGTTGACGAAGTTTGCGAACACTTGTCTACAGCCAAAATAGGATCCTCGCTCCGCAAATTCAACAATACAAAGCAGATAAGCTGTGTATGGAAGAGGAATGGCCACTCTTTTGAGGGTCTTTAATTCGTCTTCGGTCGGCAATAGATTTCCATCGTCATCATAAGCTCGTTCTGTTTGGCAACAATTGAATCCGACATCTCAGTAACATTGGTAGCACTCTTAGTATCAGTCATCTTAGACACACTGATGGAAATTCCTTTGCGGGAGGATTTGCACTTTTGAGAGGCGCAGAGAATGATTGAGTATTGGACCGAGAGATGTAAACCCTAGCCTCCTGTGGAACCATTGCTATATAGATCGCGTGGTTGGCTGTGTGGTCGTTATCTGCGCTTGCCTTATTCGACGTGCTACCTTCCAGACTGAAGCTCGCCTGTGTGAATGATAAGAAGGCTATCCGCGGCAGAAGTTTCTCCTGACAGTTGCGCTTCCCGGGCCAATGCGACTGTCACAGACGGTAGTTGATGTCGTTTCTGGCAATCGGGCTGCCAGGTTGCGGGCTCTGTGGGACCCTTGCTTTGTAGACGAGCAGACCAATAAAGAATACCGCTAGAGCGGTCATTCTAAAAGTTGTCCTTATCTATTCAGAAAATCGGACGACGAAGCAGTCAGCCACTTCGGAAATGCGGGAAGAACATCTACACAAAGATTAAATAGCTTCATCATGGCCTGTGGATGAGAAGAGGGAGCTTAAAACTATTCCCAAAAGAAAGAGTCGGCTGACTAGTGTAGAAAATGCCCAATTCTGGAGCGACCCCGGTCTACTACTATCGCCTTACGAGCCTTGCCGAGACAATGGGGTGCATGATAGTGCGCAGAACGGCACCCTTGCCATGTGCCGAGTGGATAGCAGTATTCTTATCAACATATTTGTGATTCTGAGATCACTGTCATGAGTAGATGGGCTAGGACTCGCACAATCTCGAAGATAGCGCTTCCCATTGAACTACCTTTTGTCGGCCTGATGATACCAAAATTTCCTTGAGTGCGGGAAGAAACCCGATGTGATTTTAATATTCAATCTCTTATGAAGAAGGAGAACCTAATTTGGCAAGCAAACATACCTAGCGTGATGCCCCTGCACGGCTAGCTTGATATCTTGCCGAGGATGTTGTCGAACTTACGGACATCAAAGGGGTCTGGAAACAGCTGTTGCCTGAATCAAATTGCAGAGAGGAGTGTACTCTAAAAGAAACGTGCGCTCAAGAGTCTGTGGTTAAGATCAAGTGTTTCTTCTTACATCTATTGGTTTACCTCTGTCGCCATGTTCTTCCTACCAGTTGTGCTTCTTCTTACCAGAACTGTGAATGCTTTCCAACCATGCTCGATTTTTGGTCCAGGATTTCCTGCCCCTCACAACCTATCTGTTTCTCCTATATTCAAATCAGCTTCTGATAACTTCACCTCTCTCATCAAGTCCGTCATTTCGTCGAGAAAATCAAGATATGGCCAATTTGACTCGAATACAACGACCTTTTCTCTCCAGGTTTTCTCGACAAGTACCGATACGCCTCTCTACGAGTTTCACCACACAGCACCAGGACTTGAGTACTCCGGTACTGGCGTTCGAGAGGTCGATTCAGATTCCATATATCGAATAGGAAGCGTTACGAAGCTGCTTACTGTATACTCATTTCTCAATGCTGCTGGAGATGCCAATTTTCATTACCCTGTCACACGATGGGTGCCTGAGCTTCGAGCGGCAGCAAGCTCCAATAACAGTACAAAATACCCGGTAGAGTATGTGGCCTGGGATGATGTGACTCTGGGTCAATTGGCGGCGCAAATGGCCGGCATAGGACGCGATGGCTCTCTCCAGGGGGAAATCACACAGGAAACATTGAATTGGACTGGATACGGCTTCCCACTACTAGAAAGCTCCTCGATTCCAACGTGTGCAGCTGTTACACTATGCAACAGAACAGGTAAGGTTCAATTGCCTCGGCTATCTCACTTGCGATTGATATAGCTAACAAACACTATACAAATCACAGAATTTTTCGCAATCTTCACTGGCAGACCACCGGTCTATCTTCCGTCAACGACGCCGGTTTACTCGAATGTTGCTTTCCAGATTCTTGCCTACGCTCTGGAGGAGATTGTGGGTCAGGCTTTTCCAGAGATTATTGAGCAGACCATGCGAAAGGATCTAGGTCTGATGAGGACGGCACTCTCCATTCCTACTAACGACACATTCACCGCGAATGGTGTTATTCCACTCGGTCTTGCCAATAGTCGCTGGGCTTTTGATGGAGGAGATGAAAATCCGTGAGTATTGCCCTGATCATTTTGGTCCTCCCAGTTGGCCTGACAGAGGAACCCACCAGTGCCGGAACTGCGTGCTCTGCGGGCAATGAGTTATCGTCCATTGGTAGAGCGATCCTTCGCTCCACTCTACTTCCCCCAGAATTGACATTGCGTTGGATGAAGCCAGTGGGTGCGCGGACTGCAGACCCTAATCTGTTGGCTGGGGCTGGTTTCGAGATTCTCACATTCACTGATCCTAGCACTAAACAAATCACCGACTTATACACCAAGTCCGACAATTTAGGAATTTACAGCTCTCTTCTGATTCTTTCGCCCGATTACGATTTTGGCTTCACCATTATGGCAGCTGGATTAAACAACTTGGATACGGCACAAGCAGTTGGACAACTTCTTGTCGACCAATTTGTTCCAGCCGTAGTCAATGCTGCACGAGCTGAGGCAGATTCAAACTATGCGGGAACTTATATCAGTTCAAACCGTGCCTTGAACTCGAGCATAAGGTTGTCGACCATACCATCACAACTCGGACTATCCATTTCTTCCTGGATCAGCAATGGGACTGACATGCTCGCCGTTTCTGCAGAGTTAGTCCTCAGATCACCTGGATCCCCAGTCAATGTCACGCTATACCCATCAAATCTCAAGTCTCAAGCTTCAGATGGGGGTTATAAGCGCGAATTTAGAGCCATATTTGAGGATCCAACTGTAGAAAATCCAGGAGGGTTATTCACAAACAAGTGTCAAAGCTGGGTATTCATGGAGGAGATCGTTTATGGGCGGCTTGCACTGGACGAGTTTGTGTTCACAGTCGAAAAGGGTGGATCTGCAAAGAGTCTTGTCTCTAGTGCGTTAAGGGAGGTCCTGAGTAGGCAGTAAGGTGCAAGAATATCACTATAATCATGCCGACTAAACATTCAGACGATCATTTGAAATCCTGCCTCGTAGAGGAGCTAATCAATTCTTTGTATGCGCAAAGTCTGAATCCCATCATTCAGTTTAAATGCTCTTAAAAGAAACTCTCCGGAGGGCGATTGAACATCCCTCGCTCACTCACTTAAAGCAGACACTATCATAGGAATGGGGGCTCGACGACTCCAGTTTGGCATGTGATCAGCCCATATGCTTCGACTCTTCGATGCCTATCAAAATCGAAAATAGCGCTGCGGCCATACTTGACTTCATTCAGGTCACAATCTGCGACGATAACCTCATCACCTCTATTCTCAGCCATTGCTAGGATCCTACCCTTGGGGTCGATGATGCAACTTCCACCAATAAGATCAAATTTCCCATCCTCCAGCCCGGCCTTTGCTGCGCACACTCCGAAGACACTTTTCAGGTAGCAGTTAGACTGCATGACAAGCAAGTGGTCTACGAGTGCGGCAGCTTCTGCTTCAGCCTTAGATTGAGGCTTATGGGGCGATGTCCCAGCGAGCTCCGGGCAGTAACCTTGAGTGTTGTAACCACAAAACACAACTTCGGTGCCTTGCAAGGCAAGACAACGCCAGGCTTCAGGCCATCGACGGTCGTTGCAGATAATCATTCCAAAGATTGGGTCACCTCGCCTGGATTCTCCTTCGCTAGATGACCTTGGAATCTTTAGAGTCAGAATGTTCAGTGGTAATCGCAACCAGGGCTGGAGCTCGGAATGCGGTGAAGCCAAGGTCTCCTGGCTGGAAATATCTCTTCTCGAGTTGATTGATTGCGTTCGGATCAGGTAGAGGATCCACGAACCCTGGGAGGTGGGTTTTGCGGTACTTGCTGAGGATGGAGTGTGTAGAAGCAGAATAGTAGATTGACGTGTTGAACATTCGCCTTCAGGCGTACGTTCTGCGAAGCCAATACTCACATCCATAGAGAGGTTTTTCGCTTCGCTGAAAAATGCTGCCGTAGTAGGAGACGCGAGAAGATTTCCATGCTCGAAGTACATTTCAAGCTCCACTGGAGTCAAGACATATCGTGGAAAGAATGTCAAAGGCTAGTTCGGGGAAAAAGGACAACTTGTGCGCTATATGATGCCGCCTCACCGAGAAGCCGCAGCATTCCATCAACAACCTCCTCTCGCCTCGACGTGAGGTGATTCGGGCCTAATTGTGCAGCCGCAATCTTGATCGTACGAGCCATTGCCGTCTCAGATCTGGTCACGAGCATCGATATCAGCTTTAGCTTTGATGTGAATGACTATGGCTGAAGCTTGTATTATATAATATTGCTCACTTAGTTATTGCCTGACTCGAGTTGAAAGCAGGAAAGAGCATCTACTACAATGTCTCCCTTCTAGTCAGAAAGAGTATAACATCCAGTCAAGCTAAATGGCATTCACAATAGGCTTCAGCAGCGACTGGTCACTTCATGCACCTCATTCGTGAGAAATACTATTCTCTTTCACTTGGTCCATTAGTAGTTGACTCTTCTTCATTCGTCAAACTTGAAGCTGCATGATAAATGCCACATACCCTGCTCGCACAGTCGACTAAAATTCACCAACATACTAACAGTACAAGATGCTATCGGACATCTACCGATGGTAACCGCCAAACCTAGCGGCAGGTTGTTCTAATGCGAGATAAGCACGGAAGTAGAATTCCAAATGCTGCTCCACTATCCGGCGAGGTGTGCTTTCGTACGTATGCACGCCTTGCCTGCTTGAGCCCCAGTTTCCGGCCTTGGTTACTGGTTCTCGGAGAGAAGTCCTGTGAGAAATTATATGATTCTCTGGTTTATGCTACGAGCGTGAGGATAGAAGGAGACTTTATTTCACTGGGACTGTACGCCCTAGGTACTTTCTACACTCAAATCCGAGAGATGCTTCTGGAGTTATGAGTAAAGGCTACATTATCCACGAATCTTCGCGGTAGCGTACTACATCGCTGAAGAACAGCTTCGACTGTTTGATTACATCAATAGTAATCTTAAATGCTTGTGGGAGGTGACACGGCACGGTGATCTTTTGTATATAGCTGAGGAATTACATGGGCAAAGCTTCCAGTGTGTGGACTATCAGATCAGATCACAACAATGTGTAGCTCCAGGGGTCCCATCGAGGTGGTGTTCATTTTGTAACTCAAATGGTGGAGACCCTTTCAATTAAATCTGGCGAGCCAGCTATTCATGCTAATTATGCTGCTTCTCAATGATTGAGCAACAGAAAATTATGGTGCCGCAGGTGCTTTCAGCACACTGAGGGTCATTGATCTACCTTCACCGAATTGTGATTGAATGCCCACCATTCTACAGTCGGCCCGAACTTCCTTCGCAGATTTGATGTCCGTAGAAGTGAAGGCACCAGTAGCTTCTCCGTTCAAGCGGTTACTCTCGAGCTCTTCGGAGTAGATCACAAGTCCTGCGCACGTCGCTGCTACCCTTGCGTCCCAAAATCCATCACGTCGATTAAGTTGGGAAAGAACCTTCAAAGCTTGACGCCTCAGATTCGGGTCTCGGCACCTTGTGGTAACGAGAAACAAGGGAGGCAGAGGTGAAAGAGCTGCGTGTGTGAAGACTGGTCTACCTCGTCCTTCAAGTCGTGAGAAGTAGGATGGTAGTAAAGCGTGGAAGTCGTTGTCCCTCTCAACATGGTTCTTAAACATATTCAACTCAGCGTTCGTGAACTTAAAGCTCTCGATCACTGGAGCTGACGATCTATTGAGTGTTCTCGTTGAGCGAAGATCTGGCTGTTGGTGAATGTCTGTACGATTCAAGAGCAACTCGTGGCCAACCTCAACCATTGCGTGGAAAATTGAATTGCAATTATCATAACCCATTACTTCGTTAGGGGAGTCGAGTTGTAGAAAGAGGTTTGTTGAAAAATACCACAGCCGTAAAATCTGCACAGCTTTTTCCCTCTGCTCCAGAGATTGTGGAGATAGTCGGGTTTCGCAAGATAAGTAGTCATCAAAAGCTATTTTCCATTCATTGACCTCCCGTAGAATTCCACTGTAGCTAGTCTCACGCAGCACAGTCATCTCGGGGGAGCGCGCGCTCAAGTTTTTCGAAGTAGCATGTTGTGTGATGGTATTGAGTTGCTGTGCTAGTCTTTCGAGAGCGTAGCTCGCAGCTCCTAAGGACTGAAAGTGATAGTCAATCTGTGGCACTCCGCTGAGTAAATTTTCGTCGATCATGTATGATGAGGGTTGTCCGATCTCAATCAACTGGCGATGAAGCCTTCTGAACAACGTTACCAAAGCCTCAACGGGAATATAACTCTGGTAGTCCTTAGGTTCCTTCGGCCTAGAATTCTTTTCTTTCTCAGATCCCACATATGCATGCAAGAGTTTGAAACCACTGTCTACATGGGCCTTAGCAGATCCAAAATGTCCCTGCAGTTGCTCGCAAAATGTGAAGAGAACACACCCTATCAATGTCACCTCCATCAATCTCTGACTATGTTTTGCAGTGGCCAGTGCGAATAGGGCTAGAGAATATTCCTCTAAACCTTGTTTGGAGAACAAGACGATATCGCCGCTTGACATACTGTAATGTTGGTGAAAGCTGCCCAATGCGCAAACAGCATGTCTTATTGCTTCTTCGTGATATGCGGCTTGGAGGACTAATCTGTTCCAGACATCAAGCTCTTCGTCAAATGGTCCGGCAAGCTCAAGAGACACCTGCAGTTGATAATACTCGAAAGCACGTCGCTGCTGCTGGGGTGCGACAGGATTGAAAACTGCCACAGGACAAGAAGGTCCAATAACGACATAGTTGACAAACTTGAAGGCATGTGGGACTCGTTTTTTAGTGGGAGCTTCACTATATCCATCACATCTCCGACCAGTCTTCATGCAGCGAGTGCAGTCAGGCTTGATTTCGTCACACTTGACTTTGCGAATCCTACAACTGTTAACTAATTGTCCAGTATTGTATTGCTATGGGATATCAGGCTCTGGCAGAGGTGACCACCAAGGAAAAACACTTTCGTGCCGCCACCACATTGTGACAAAGAGTCGACATCAGAAACTTTCGGAAAATGGTGGTGTCAGAGGTTAGGCTCACGTACTTGCAAGTTTGGCAACCAGCTCTTGAATAGAGGCGAGATTTGCCGTTGGTTAGCTTGGTGGGAGACATCCTTGGGTCCATGAAACCCCGCCAAGTGTCGATAATATTGCGCGCTATGCATAATCCTGTCCTTACGTATGTAGATATTGGCGTGTGAATCCGCCGTGCGATTGTGAAAGGATGTCGGAATCTGGTTTAAGTTGCAGCGAATCTACAAATTCCAGCTGGTCTTTTCTCTAGATCAACTAGTCTGTGCCTGCGTACCTACAGATTTGCCGTCGTCCGGCGTTTGGCCCTAAGGCTTGGCCCTCGTTTGGAGAATAGGGGGAGTGCATGGATCTACGCCTCGAACATGGGTGCCAGGCAGACGCAAAACCACCCTTCTCCATCACCATCAGACTATGCCTTTTGTGGTCAATCAACTCCGAGCCAGCCCATACAGCCTACAGTCGAAAGACATTTACATATCTTCGTCTTTAACTGCCTCCTTACTTATTCCACTCTTATCCTTACCCAAGTTTAGATTTGACAAAGGTTGACGCTGCCTAACCCATGCTAAGGTAGGCTGAGAGAATGGAGCACCAAACATAGCAAATTTCCTTTCGCTATTTCCATTGGATAGCTCGCGAGTTATATTCTTCGTTTGTTCTTTCGGGGCAAGCTTCTCTTGCCATAACTCGTTATCACAAAATATTGCGCGTCAATCCTGTTCCTGGGAGGGCCATTGCCTCTCGGCGACAGCATGCTATAAATGGCGAGGATTATAATCTCACGAGCACTCCCTACACAAAATATCTTGAGTTTATCACAGAGTATCCATTTTTCATTTGCTCAATATACCGTACGTCGTCAGAATGGGCCTGTCCTTTGTTTTACGGACTGTGGCAGTCTTTTCTTCTATCTTTTTCATCGCAGCGGCCACCCCAGAGATCCACTGGGTTGATTGCAAAGACCATGTTCCTCCTAGTGATGTCTTCGATCCTGCAGGTATTGATATTGAGAACCTACCATCAACACTCAAGTGTGGTCGAATTGTTGTGCCCATGGACTATTCGCAGCCACTGGATGGCAGTAACAATATCACACTGGGTTTAGCAATGCATCGGCCTTCCAATCCAAAAGGGATTATCTTCTTGTTTGCATCTTCCTCGTCTGGCCGGTTGGTTTATAGGCTAAGAGTCTTTTATTAGCTCTCCAGGTGGTTCGGACAATGCCGTGGTGCATGCGTGGAACTTTGCACTTGGTATCAACTCTCCATTTACGCCCAACTTCTCCGGTCTGCGAGAGTACGATTTGATGAGTATCAAATGCCCAATCCCTCTATCCAAGCATGGTCTGACGATTTAGTTTAGTAATGGAAGTTCGTGGTACTTATAGTTTCAAAGCCCTCAACGTTTCATTAGACACGGTCCTTCCGTTGTTCGATCCTTAGTATGTGCCTCTCTACCGCATTCCCGCTCTAACAACTTTCCAGCCCAGCATCGCAGGATAAACTCGAAGCTACCAAAGCGGCGTTTACTACTACTATACAGTCGTGGATTAAATCAAGCTCACCTCCCGGAATCATTAAATATATTGGGACGAAGGAGATCGTTGAAGATTTCAACCAGATTCGTAAGGCTCTTGGTTATGACAAAATCCATTAACTAGGTGGCTCCTAGTAAGAACTTTTAATAACCTAGATCCAAAACGCCTCTAAATATATCTAATATTATGGTGGAACCTACCGAGGACTGCAATACGCGGCTACTTACCCAGATACTGTGGGTCGCTTTGTACTTAATGCAATGGTACCACACGGAATTGTGAGTGCTACAATCAGGTAGTCGATGTACGCAGCTAACATCAATCTATAGAGCCGAAGCCAGCAATCTAAAGACGGGATAATCGCAGCAAATCACGTCCTGGAGAGAGCAAATGCATTCTACCAGAATAATTTGACGTGTCCATTGCGAGATCAAGGAAAAGGAAGTGTTCTCAAAGCGAGTCTATAACCCTAAGTATATACCTTAAAGACTTAGACTCTAATAGTACTTAGACTTACTAAGAGGTTCTCGAAATCGCAAGTACTTCGTCAGTAGATGCTCTATGGACTATTCAATCGACGATATATAGACTGCTCCCAGGGTTACCCGATTTTCCCTTGATCACCAACTTAATCTACCAATTATCACTGGATATCAACTTCCTCGATACATTACCGCAGTCTAATTTGACAGTCGAAGCTGTTGTTGCTTATATTTTGCAGTGTGCAGACTCTCGTACGCACAAATCGTTGGTCCTTATGAGTCTTGATCTAATGGTGCACAGCAAATACCGCAACTTTCTCGGAATTCCAGCAATCACTCACCAACGCTTTGGCTGTTAGTATCCCACAGCAGATAATAATAGCCGTGCGTCGACGAACTGACTTTTTCGACATAGCACGACACTCATAATATAGGTCAAACCGCGGGTTTCCAACTAGAGGTATATGGTTCCACCTCAATCCTACAGCTCGACTAATCGCTTATAATTTCTAGCTTGGTTGTTCCGCGTGGCCTTTCGCCACCGCGCCTTTGAAACGACTCCATACTGAGATCTCAACGCTTCTCATCACATCTGATTTTGATTCCGCGTAAGTGCACTGTGTGGTGATTGCATGAGCGGATGATTCTGACAGTGTGCTCTTGAAATTCTAGCTCCGCGACCGAATGGACGACTGAGGCTTTCGAGGATCTCCCCAACTCGCACCTGATTGTCAGACACGGCGATGATCATGTCTCTTTCCTTTGTAAGCACTCCAAACTCTTTTACCAAGACCCTGCTTCAAGTTCGTCCAGTTCGATTCTAACCCAGTCTCGTTTTTCTTTATATAGTGCCTGATCAATATTCAACACAGCTCACGAAAGTATTTCTGCAAACGGGGATTCTGCCATGGCCATCCACGAATGATAGCGTGACCTTCTACAATCCAGGGACAGCTAGGAGTGCCATCCCGGATCCGTATTCTGTCCAAACAGGGTTTGGTGCGGGTGATGTTAATTCGGAGTAATGTGATCCCACCTGATGTTCTGCTGTTCCTTCCTTCCATTCCTTGAGGGCGCCTGAAATCATTCCTTCATCATGCAACTTAATAGCGTGAAGGAAAGCCAGAATGCCATAAGGGAGGATATGGGGAAATTCGATCACTCAAAATGTTTTTGCGGTCGATGAGGTAGTGGATGCCTTTGCCCTGGTCCTCATTGAGATACATCAAATAGCGCAAGCCATCCGTCTTTTCACAAACGTAATAATCCTGGTGTTTCAACTCTTGAAGACGCTTTCTAGCAAAGGAGACGGGTTGGGCGCCAGGGAAGGAACGACTGCCGCGGCCAAGGAGAGAGGCGATTTCATTCTGGAAGTTGAACTGAAGATCTGCACCAGCCCAAATACCTCCAACACGGGCAACCAGAGATGAAGGATCATGAGGAGGATCCCGAGAACGATTCATTGCGCTGTCGCCATGCACAATCAAACACTTTGAGGCATGAAGGGATGCTTTCCGCCAGAACAACGGTACCTGTGTCCGAAAAGGGTAGTAGAGATATGTTCTACACCGTCGAGTGCTGGTGATGAGGTCGGTGAGTCTGAGATGAATTACAGAATCGCAACTGTCAAAGGCGAATGAAGTTGAAGTCCGCATGCCGCAGCCAGCAACGCCAAGCGATACACTCTATCTAGGGTAATGGAGATGCCGCCCTGTACTCATCCGGTCTAGTCGGGGTAAATAGTGATGCCGCCCTAGTCTCATTGCTTTCAGGGGAAAAAGTGAGAGATCAGTCATGTCTCGGACTGTTCTCTCGCGAGGCATTATCGAAGCCAGAAGTAATTGAGACACTCTGGTACGGCAATATAGAACGCAATATATCTTTACAACACGTAATTCTATGGCAGAGACAGCACATATGGTATACCGAATGATGGATTCAAAGTATAAGCAGGATTCCCTTAAGCCCTATTCGTATGTAAACCCGCTCGAGCCATCATTTTTCAATCTAATTCTTCATGCTATTCACATCGGCTTCATCGCCGAAAAGCCCTTGGCTTGCTGTTATATCATCTTCAGATCAAGGGTCTGGCTTTGTCGACCTTCATCCGAGGGAGAACACCCAGTTCAGCCATCTCAGAGTACATCTCAAACAAGACCTCTCTTGTGTCCGCGAAGCCCGTCCAGCCAAACAGTCTTGCCTTGTTCATGCACAAGCTGCTGATTTTTCGGAATGCAGCGTCTCCGAAAGCAAAGTTTGCCAACGGGTCATCGTGTGGGTTGTTGGTAAGTTGACCACCCGACTTGGCCATGAGCCGTTGCCATGCCTCCTTATTCTCAGGTTCAGACGCCCAATCTACCAGTGTGAAGCCACTACGCCAAAGCAGTGGAGGACCGTATCTAGTCATATATCAGCCATGGTAAACAAGATGGATAGATTGAGAAGATGTACGTACCCCATGGGTGTATCTTTGCCGGCTTTACCTTCGAAAACGCTCAACCTTGTGTTGTCCTCTTCCGGTGGAGCAACGCCTTTCTTGACGTCGAACCAGCGAACTAGCTCCTCATAGAGCCGATCCCATGTGAGAGCACCAGTATCCTGAGAATTGAATGCTTGATTGCGACATTTATCTTCAAGGGCCGCCCACTCAGAGAGATACCCTGTGAGCATGGCGGACGAATGATGGCCCTCGTGTTGCCACACATCCCAATCAGAAGGAAAACGAAGAGGCTCTCTTTTCTCTGCCTGAACGGCCGCATAAAATGCGACCGGTAGTAGGGCATTCATTTGAGCGTTGTTGACAGCGCCAAGGACCCAAGCTGGTCTTATAACATTCCACGAAGTGTTGTTGGCCCTGCAGAATTCATAAAGCGATTTCTCCTGAGGATAGTAGAAATTAGGCTCCAGATGGGTCAAGTCAGGGTCGGATTCCACAGCAGGACTTCGAGTACGGCCAATATGAACGCCGTAATGTTTCGCTCCTGTTTGTAGGAGAAAACGCTTGGGAATGATCTTGGACAGTGACAAAGCTTGGAGGAAATTGTCAAGAAGGGCAGTGTTGACTTTAAGCAGCTCCTCGGCATTCGACCACACTGCAGCACCCGGCGGTGGTGTGGGTTGTAAGTACGAGTAAAAGAAGATATAGTCTGCCGTGACCGATTTCAACGCCTGAGCGATTTTTGATGGTTCGTCCAGAAAGTCTACCGCTATATGCTCGACTCGAGACCGCTGTGGCTCTGGAAGCAAAGCCATCATTGCTTTGGGTGGTGGTCGGCGGGATAATGCGTAGACTTTTGACCATCGTTCGGGGCTCTGGAGGAGTACCCTCATCGTATGAAAGCCGGATATCCCATTGGCACCGGTGACAATGGCTGTCAGCCCCTTGACCGCTGGATCGAAGACTGGCAAATTGCGGTAAATTCCTCTCTGCTGGACGGGATAGCGCTCGGAGCCCATCTTACTGAGTGAGTAGTATCGTTCTTCGATTTGGAAAAATAAGCTCCTCTGTAAATCAGTGTGTGCAGTAAGACTAGAATCTCAAGTCGTCGTTGAAGACAACTTATACATTCGCAAGTGAAGAAGTTCACATTATCAAATGCCGACAATTGGTAAGCGTAGAAGAAAGGAACACTGCAAGGCATAACTTACGCGCAAACCCCCTGACAGCTCGTTCGCCTACGTGTGGCTTGTGCGATCTCCATACTAGGGTTCTACTGACAGCACCGTGCTCCAGCCAAACGGTCCAGATCCGACGGCATTGAGTAAGCACTTACAGCGGTCGATGATACGATAACGGAGTCTGGAGCTAACCTCATGACGGCGACCACCACCAAGCAATGGATCGTGGTAGACGGGGTTGAGTACCGATGCTATCTTTGGTGCGAAACTTGTCTCGGAAGTCAGCATAGAACGTCGGCACTGCAAGCTGCGAGACCTTCGGTACCGATGTCAATATGAATAATGTAATCTCGGCACTCTCGAAAACTTCGGTACCGAGGCCCCACGTCTTGAAAGTTGAGATACCAGACCACCCCACCACAGACGCTGAGACTACTTAGGTCACGGTATGATAAAGATAAAGTACTATATCAGTGTTGAAGCTCTGTGTCGTATGGTAGCCCTGGGTGTACCTCCATTGGACCGACGTAAGAAACACATGGTATTGAAGAAAGCCAGTATTGGAACCATCCATCACCACTAGAGCTCATCTAAGATCAAGAAGGATTTTTAGCAAAATCTATCATCATGTCAGCTGTCGATTATTCTGTCGATGTCGCTAGAAAATCTGGCTGTGAGGTTCCATCTTGGAAACACACAGCGCTACGGGCGAGACAAGTTCTATCCGACAGCATTCCCACGAGATGGAAGTTGCCCGCCACGTTTGAGCCACCAGACACGGACTACCAGCGTGCCGCCCTTGATTGTGGCATCTTAACCCCAAGGCAAGTGAGTTTGACTCATTTGACAGCTTCTGAGTTGCTACCCATGCTACACACGGGGACATTGAGTGCAGCCGAGTTGATGGAAGCATTCTGTGCTCGGGCGGCTATTGCCCAGCAACTCATCAACTGCCTGACAGACTTTTTCCCAGAGGAGGCGATTGAGTCGGCCAACTTGTTGGATGCTGAATACTCCGAGACCCAAAAACCTCGGGGGCCTCTGCATGGGCTTCCAATCGCAATCAAAGACACTTATGCCGTCAAAGGCAAAAGAACGACAAATGGCTGTGCCGCATGGTATGATAGCGAGCCCGCAGAGGACGATGCCTCCCTTGTCCAGGTGATGAAGGATGCAGGAGCGATAATCTTTGCAAGAACCACAATGCCACAAACCGGCATGGCTCTGGAGACGGTTAGTCCCCTCTGGGGCCGAACACTCAATCCATATAACTCGAAATTCGGGCCCGGTGGCTCTTCTGGTGGCGACGGCGCTCTAGTCGCCATGCATGGAGCTCCTTGTGCGCCGCTGGCCTCGGATATTGGAGGTAGCATTCGTGCCCCGGCGGCTTTCAACGGTCTCTATGGCATGCGGCCATCATCTGAAAGGGTTCCTCGGACGGGACTGGTATCACAAAGAATGGGTCAAGTCTCGATCAAGGCATCGTGTGGTCCAATCAGTCACAGCATGAGCGATCTGAAGCTTCTTCTCAAGTTGATCTTGACACACCCAACCCTGCCGTACGAGCCAACGTGCATTTCAGGATTCTGGAAGGAGACACTTCCAAAAGCAAAACTCACGATTGGTATACTTTCAACAGACGGCATTGTAGACCCACATCCACCGGTCGCCCGCGCTCTCAGAGAGGTTGCGATCAACTTGCGGGCAGCTGGACATCAAGTCATAGAGTTCAAGCCCCCAATAGATCTTTGGGAGGCTGCGCTCATCACATGGAAGCTCTATTTCCAAAATGGAGCTAATGAGACCATGGCGGCTCTGGCGACATCTGGCGAGCCCATGATTGCTCAATTCCGACACTACCTTGAAGTCTTCGACGTGCGCGAGCGCACGATCTCGGAGATCAGTGAATGTCACAGAAACCAAGCCGCCCACAAACAGGCCTTTGTCGATGCTTGGAACGCCACGTTGGAAGAGAGCGAAACAGGACAGCCGATGGACTGCATCATCGCTCCTTCGGCACCATTGGTTGGATCGCCCCATGACTTTCCTCTATGGTGGGGTTACACGACGATCTGGAACCTCATAGACTATCCCTCAATCATTTTACCGTTGAAGTCGTTCAGAGTGGATCCGACAAAAGATGCCAAAGATATGAGCTACAAGCCGCGTGACAATCCGTTCGACAAACCCAACTGGGAGATCTGTAAGTGACATACTTTAGATGGAAGTCTCTGAAGCTAACGTTACTCGACCAGATGATCCCGAGCTTTGGAAGACTCAGCCGATGACCATCCAGATCGTCGGCAGGAATTGTAGAGATGAAGAACTAGTCAGCGTTTCTGAAGTTATCGATCAAGTGCTGAATCCAGGCCATTTGCCAGAGCTTTGATCAACGCTTCCGAGAGTGGAAAGTATATCGTCCAGAGTAAACGAGAAATCAACCTCAGTCTTCGACTCTCCAAAGTGAGTCGTTGCGCGGATGATGTTTAGCAGTCTCATAGAGAGGGCGCCTCGATGATTTTAAGCTCAAATTCGGACATCGATAGTTGATAGGACACTGGCAATAGCGAGATCGCCAATTCACCATCTATCAATTTTGACAGTATTGTTCATGCATTGTTTGGTGAGTAAGGAGGATTCCATGGTATCCGTCGTAGTCGTTGGAGTCAACCCTCCTGATACAGGCCCGGGGGTCGTATTGGGAGGTGTTGAAGGCTTGGCGCCAGTTTATGTAGTAGGGGGAGGAAATGCCCTACAAGACGCAGCTCATGGATGCCAAAGTTGTCTCTGTTTTCTATTCTATGGCTCTTGTTCTCTTCTCTATATATAATCGCTAGCAAGTCGATCTAGAACACCCGATTCTGCATCAAATGAAACAAATAACGCGTCCTTGACATCAATAACCTGTGAAAATCTCTGCAAGGTAGTAACTTGAGTGGAACTACCAGCCACGCATCTCCTTAGTACGGCGCACTAGTAATCCTATAGTGTAAATACGTCGGAGTGTAGGGTCTCGTTAGCAACAGGAGGGGGGCTTGCCAGTCGACCGGGCATTCCTTGGCGGGTTTTACCACCATGACTTTCAAGAGTTACTTTCATTATTTACCTAAGTGCCTACACCTTTTTCCACTCCGAGCGAACACAACCAAGTGTACTTGCTATTTGGGATAAACTTAAGTCGAGTATATTCATACCACAAGGCCCCAAAGCTTCGCTCAAGTGATCCTCGCTACGGACCACCACTTTGGCGAGGAAGTGAGTCAAAAACGTGCTGGGAAGTCCTGCTCACCACTGGTACGTCCAACGCAAAGAATATCTCTCCATGAATTCGCTACTGGGCAGTCATGGAGAAGGCACGCTCGTGCGACCCGGTAGACAAGATAGCGAACGGGGTACTCTGCGGCGGCGACTGAACACATCTTGTTGGGATTGTCGAAAGCGTAAAGTTCGCTGCGACGTCACCGAGGGCACAGGCTGTACTTCATGCAAGCGAGCGGGAATCAGATGCAGGTAAATCGCCTTCATCTCTTTCACATGGAGGGCGTCAAGACTGAGCAAAGCATTCCAGACCGCATCCAAACCAAGTCAAGTCTCCCAAGATTCGACGACGACAAGAAGTTCTGCCAGCCAGCACTCCCAATGCTACTGCGCATCTGGTGCCGCGAAACGATAACGATCGAGACGTCAAAGCCGACGTCACAGCTCCTTCTCTCGATGACTCTCCGACTTATGATAGTGGAAATCTATCCCGTTTCTTCGAGGCCGGGGTTCTCTCCTCTAAATGGGACGCGTTCGAGGAGAAGGGGACGTTTCGAGATGTATACATTGGTACCGAGGTTGCTAATCTTCATCATCTTGTGCGAGATCATGAACTTCCTGGTAGCGGTTGTTTGTTCTATCCCTGTCCTGCGATTCGGGATGAACTATCGTGGAAACCGGCTCCCGGGCCCTCGATCCATCACTACCTATCGGACGAGGCCTTGAGCGACCTCAGCAGTTCTCCCGTCCGCCATGTCCTAGATGCCTTAGTAGAGACATACTTTGCAGATATCCATCCAGGCTTCCCGATCATTGACCAAGCCAATTTTCGACGGAGATACGAAGACGCCGACAATCCGCCTCCCCTCATAGTCTTCCAGGCGATGCTTCTTGCAGCAGCTCGCATCACGGACCATCCTCAGGTCGCTGCATCTCGTGAGACCACGACGGCCGTCCTCTACAAGAGGGCCAAGACTTTGTTCGATCTCAGACATGAGCACGACCGCGTCGATCTGATCCAGGCTGCGCTCTTGATGTCATGGTACGTGGAGAGTTCGGATACTGTGGCCTCCAACGCGTACTACTGGGTTGGCAGCGCTGTGCGCATTGCCTTCGGAATGGGGCTGCACCGCACCGCCTCGCTCCGGTACGTGCCCCCAACCGGCGTCGTTTCGACCGGAAATACAAAAAGATATGGTGGACTTTGTTGTACAGTGAAGTCATGTTGGCGCTGGAGTACGGTAGGCCCAGTCTGATACGCATCGATGATTTCGATGTGGGCGTTCTCGAGGACGACGACTTCAAGAACATGGACGACTCGGACGATCACACGGTAAATGGTTACTTCTGTTCAATCCTGGGCGACATCTCCATGGTATCCTTGGACATCCTCAGTCTCCGGGCGCCGCGAGGCAGACCCGCCCACCTGACCACATCAGCCACAGAACGTCAATTATCAGCTGTGGCTATGCGCATACTTCCCACCCATGACGCGTGGTCTTGCCAACTCCGTCTCATCTACAATCGGGTCGTATTGGCCTTCCACCGAACCAGCCACGATGAAAGTGCGGCCAAGCTGTGCTCCGAAGCAGCATCCAACATTCTCACCACCTTCGAAGCCATGGTGGTGCACAGCACGATCCGCCAATGTCATCTGAGCACCACCACGGCCCTGACAGCGGCTGCCATCGAGTTCGCCCGCGAGGCCCGATCAGCAGCCGCGACAGGGTCGATCCTCAAGGCCATATCGGCGCACGGGCAGCTGGAGAGACTGCTGGGCCCCGCAGAAGCGCTTTCGCCACACTTTTCGCATGTCAAGGCCGTCCACAGGCTCTGCAAAAGCCTGAGTGCACGTGCCGAGGTCCTCATCAAAGAAGCCCAGGAACCGAATTCTACGTTGCCCGTTTCTCAGCTACCTCCTGAAACCAACATTGATTGGGAGGGAATCATGGCGAACTACCGTACACCGAATCTTGGGTTTGGGACGGATCTTGAGGGTGAAGAGTGGTTGCATGCCTTCTCGTGGGCCAACGCCGACCCGTCCTATGATGGTACGGAATGATAAGGGTTACTCTGTATTGTAATTGTTTTGTGCACGACGTCGCGAAAGCCTGAGGCGAGCAACACTTGGTCCTGTGAAATTGAAGCACTATCTGAAATACCATTGAAGACGAACTATGTCCAGATTCTCCCTTGCTCCCTCCGTTCAAACCATCCTTTCCTGTCCGAGGAGGAACGTGATGATGTTCACTTCAAAGCTGAGGCGCTCTCACGAGCAGTCTCGACGAGCTTCCAATAGTCGGTCGCGCTTCGAGCCCGGAGTTTCTTTCCGCGCCAAATCATCAAGAAGAATATCGATGAGGTAGTCATTCTAATAAAGGCGGTGGAGATGAAGCAGTTCCGGACCCCAAGATTATTCACCCACGGAGTAATGCTAGGATAGATTAGTAACCGAGTCTCCTCTCAATCGGAGGTAAAGAGAGGGTAGGGGTAAAGTGACTCACCCATAACTAACCGCAAAAGACATCGTGTTGCGGACCAGAATCACCGTCACAAGAGCGTCTGTACTGATGTCGTGATAGCTGTCAATGAGATAATTGACACTCAACGACACACCCATGGTCGTGGTTAAAGCCAATATACCCATCGCAACCACAAGGCCAATCCAGTGGATTGAATAGGAAGCCCCGACGCCCCAGAGAATTGATGCACAAGGGATCAGGATAACGCAGAGAACAAATGGCCACAGGCGATGCTCGGCCTCCATGAAGCCATTGTTTCGCCTTGCGAGCTTGATGGTCAACCAGTCACTCAGTCTTCCTGAGATGAAGCTGCCGACAATCACGCCGATACAGCATGAAAGGTAGCTGAGGCCGACCATTGAAGACGTGAAGTTATAGGGCGGGCCGGACAGAATGACTGATGCGGTAGCGTTGGTGATGTTGAACCAGATCAAGCCGGACCCGTAAGAGAAGCCGCCGTAGAAAATGACTGGCCACGAGAGGTATTTGAGACTCTGCAAAGCGCGCTGAAACATGTTCGGACCAGGAGTCGGGGTCCACACGGAAAGCTTTTGGACAAAAGACTTCTCGTTGCTATGAACTTCGCCTTCCTGGATCCTTGATCGAGTTACTTGTGCGCGTGCAAAGTTCGGACTCTTCTCTGGATCCGTTGAGATGATGCCACTGTCGCCTGGCGAAGGTGAGGCATCCTCAACGATGCCGACCGTCTTGCGTGTGTAATTCGTCTCTTCTTGGAAGAGGAACAGGAAGATGAAGGTGGCGCCGTTGAATGTGGCTGCCCAGTAGAATACCCACGCCCAACCCTGCTTGTCTGCGATGAAACCACAGATTACAGGGGTAAAGTAATTACTACCAGCAAGGCTGAAGGCGTAAACGCCCATCCAGGTACCACGTTGATGAGTGAAGTACTATAGGGTGGCAAGTTAGTTTCCCAAGGCCCTCGGGTACGTTTTACAGGCCGGTACTTACTACATCCGTGACGGATATCTCTGGTAGTGCTTCGATGGGCGCAATAAAGAAGCCCATAACGATGCATCGTGCAATCCACTCTCCGTCACTGCGGACATAAGGGCTTGATAAATGTTAGGAAACATGTCCAGGTAATGCATTAAACGAGGAATAAAGATCCTACCTCCACAAGCTAGTCCCCTGCAGTTCCATTAGCCAAACCCCTGAACGAGATACTGAACCAACTTACGATAGCTCCCAAGACCGAGATGAGAAAAGTTGGGCGCTTGCCGTACCTGAGCGCGAACGGCTGCCAGAAAAGCAGACTCCAGCTGTGTCGGGTGCATCAGTACTTAGTTTCAGACAAAACCGAGTGATATAGGTAGACGAACCCCAGAAACAGAAACATGTAGCCTGTACCCTGATTCAAGGTTGTAACGTTGACACCAGTAGCTTTCGAGATAGGTACGAGAACCGAATATACCGTCGAAACGGCAACGCCCGTGAACCATGTATACCTGCACCAAAGTGTCAGTCGAGTCCCTTTCGTCGAGCACTGGCCCATTCTCACAGATTGGCACAAAGACTAGAGAGGAGCTTCCTTCTCGGCGTCCAGTTAAGTGGATCGTTTGGATCGTTTGAAGGTGTGGGATCGAGAACAATATCCCCTCCTTCAGCATGTCGAGTGTGAAGAGTGTGATGCAGATCAACGAGGTGAACGGTCCCAGGGATCTTGCTTGATAATTCGTTCTCTTCAACGACAGGAGCAGCCATCGCTTCTGTATGTGATAGCATAGATTTTGAAATGTGACTTGTGAGTGTGTAGAGCTCTGAGTCCGGTTGGTGATGCTGTATTGAACGGTGAGGGTGCAATCTGAATGTTATATAAAATCTGACCCACCTTCAGCTCTCTCTATCAAGCAGTCCGGGGTAGAGCGATACAGGAATATCGACCCTGAGACGTTAAGCATCGCTGACCACCGATAAGATAGTGTGTAGAGGCCCATCTGGATCTCCCAGACTATGGGGAAGAGATAACGCTTTGACAGAGAATAGAGTCCCGAGCCGAAGTGCTGCTTCGGTACCGAAAGACCACTTCCCCGCGGTACCGTGATAGGAGATGGCGACATTCCGAGCTAGGTATTCCGAGCCTTGCTTAGGTAATGGCTGACTAACTTATCTTCAGTGCTTCTTCCTCTCCAGTGAGAAATACGGCCAGTCTCTCCAGCAAGAAGCCCAAGACCAAATCACCCTTCATCAGAGAAAGCGTGGCTTGTATCAAGCAGTTTCTTAGATTTCAGACCGTTAGGAATCAAGCTCAATTCTCGAGCGTGTCAATCGGACGGCTAAGGAGGCTTGTCATGCTTACACGATGAGTGTGCGAACAGACACACTTGTGGCTTTATGTTCCATTGCAAGTCAAGTTCAGATCTGCATCGGTCTACTATGTTCGCAAGAATAATTACCGCGATCGGGTTTGGGGCAGCATGTCTCGAAAGGAGAGGATTCATTACCTGGCGACTACGACTGACAAGGGGAACAAGAGGTTGGATTTTAGATTGGCGTCTTGATGGGCTTTCTGATTTGATCTATGGAAACGGATCTTGGCCTTGAGGGCTTAGGCTGGGTACGCCGGATCTGGAGAAATGCTGAAGCTTAACGACGCGTCAGCCCTAAGAGGGCACTTGGTGCTTGATCTACCAGAGTTACTAACCCAACTGTCGTACTTCTGGCCCGTTGAATATGGCTCTCGGTGATCATGAATCCGAGTTCGAACTGATCCGAGTGGTCGCTGCTTGCATATGGACATGATTAAAGATGATCCATCTTTAGCTAGCTAAAGCTCTCGCCCACCAACGGACATGGTATGCACTTCATGTTTTCGACGTGTACCTTCGTCGTTGGATAGAATAGAAACCACAATCGAGATGTGGAATCTGCCCATAGGAAAGCATGATCTTGGCCTGATCCTTAAAACATGTCATTGATGTGGTTGGGTCTTCGAGCTTAGAGAAGGAATGGCGGCAAGGCTTTACTCAGTTAGACGCACTTGGGTGCAGGGACAACCAAGATCGGGTCAGTCCCCCTCGATGATGGTCAAGTTGCAATGAGGAAAAGCAAGGGACGACATGACTGACTCCCGGATGTTCCAAGTGGGACGTCGGGGCCAAGTACGTGGGAATCCGCTTGAGACTGCTGGTTAGCCGATGGACTGCCAACTCGGATCACGGATCAGGTCACCACACATCGCGGACGTCCAACTCCGTGCCATTATCCATTCGGCGGCCTGCATAGTCGATGCATGCACAACTTAGCCGCTTCCAATAACTCTTGATTGTGCTCTCCTTTTTAACACGCCAGTTTTTCACCCGCCATTCGAGGTATGTCTTCATCGTCTGAACCTCGCAGGCCTAGAGGAACTCTACGTACTCCTAGCGGATTCTACCATAAAAGCTATAAGAGGCCATTAGGTTAGGATCGGTAGTGATATAGTAGGGGCTAAGGGAGGAGAGACGTACTACCGCTAGAAGTCTACTACCCGCTCCACTAGCGATTAGGACTAGGCTTTCCACCGTGACCTACCCTCGCCCTTTAGATTTGTGGAACGCCCTCCGCTGGAGTAGATCGTCCTGTTCGATTATAGACTTACCGTCGCCCTAAGAGAGCGAGTCGAGATCGGAAGTTAAGTCCGTGGCGACCGCATCGCCGCAAACCGACTTCACGGAGCTAGATGTCTCGGAACCACTCAATACGTCAACGTGCTCGGATCCAAACTCCGTCGTGGGCTATCTAGAGGAAGAGAGGGCGGTCGCGGTGTCTAGTGGCGGCAAGGGTAGCCTGGGGAGATACTGGTCGAGGTACATACAACTCCGATAGTATGAGGGGTGAGAAGGAAGAAGGGAGGGTGTCAGGTGCAATTACGAGGGGGTGAGGAGGGTTTAAGAACCCTCATAGAGGGCACAACTATTATAGCTCGCGAATGCTAGGTGACTAACTCTAGGCTTCTAGGTTATAGTGTAAAGATTCTGCTGTATAGGATACGTAGAGGCCGAAGGGTAGAGTGAGAAGGTAGAGGTTGCTGACGAGGACGAGAAACTAGAATGCAGGGAAGGGGAGGGGAGAAGAGCTAGAGAGTGCTGAGGTCGGGCAGAGGGGTCCGTCGGCCTGTGGCTGACGAGTTAAGCTACAGGTGCAGGAGACTCGCAAAGCAGCGGTCGACGTCGTCGAAAACGCGAGTCCTTCGCACCATCAACCGTTATTCTACGAGTAATATTCCGTTCTGATAGGCGTCCCTTAGATATTATGACTGTAGCCTTCGTGGGTTGAGGGGCTACTACACTCTCGATTACGACGCTGTTCAACCAGTATAGAATATAAAAGTACGATGAAAACTAGATTCTACGGGCATCTAGTATTAAAATCCTTGATCCTGCCCCGATGTTCTCTAAGCACTACGTTGTCGACACAACTCCGGCCTACCTCTCTCGACCCTGCTTCACCAATCAATCCTGCCTCGATGTAGTGGTTAGTCCAACTTAGAGGCTCTACTATACAAAAACCTAAAGGATCTTCTACCTCTAGAAAGGCTATATTACTTACTGTTAGGAATGTCCTAGGCGGCTTCCTAGCAAGCATATAACTAATAGGTCCGAGAATACTTCACACTTCGTGCGAGATTCTAGTCTTTTTGAGCGATCCTCAAGGGCTTACGGACCTATTGCCTGACACTTACTAAAGGTTTTTACTATTTTAGGATTGAAAGTCTTAATCTTCAGGCTAGGAGGAATTATATATATATCGTCGAGGGCCGCAACATATTATATTAGCTTTACCTAATTTTACTCCTTAAATTCGCGATCTCTATACACGAGCGGAAGAGTCGGGGTAGGTTATCCTACTTTATATACTTAACTTAGTTCATCTACCCTAGCCCTTCCTTTAGCTAGATCTAGATTACCTATTACTAAGGCAGCTACTAGCACGAAGTAGTATAGAGGTAGCTACTATAACTATAAATATTATTATTACGAACTAGGTCACTTAAAAGGTCGCTAAGGGAATTAAGGCACCTACCTAGGGGGGAAGTTAGCCGATGGAGAACGAGGCTAAGTTACGTGACTAGGGAAGGCTAGATCTCCTGGATCCCCTAGATCCCATAGGATCTCAAGAGATCTAGGGGAGCTACGAGATCTAAGAGAGCTACTAGTATTATATATATACGCTCCTTTACCTAGATAGTATAGTTCGTAGTTAACTTCGTTAGTAATCCTATACCTATATTTTAGAATATAGTCCGACGAATAAAGTATTCCCTTTATTATCCTAGTTAACACTCTAGTACCTATTCTATTAAGGAACCCTACCTTAGTTAGAACTACTTATAGCTCGGATTATAATACTTTAACTACTACTTAATTAGTATTAGATATTTAATGTAGGATTATCTCGACTTAGATCCCTACTACCTAGCGTACGTCTACTTATAGCCTTAAATAATTCTTTAAAGACTAATATCGTTTAAGATAGTAGTTCCGACGAAGACTCCGACGTAGATATAGTTAACGTACTAAGATTTACTAATATATCTCGGGATAGTATTAAGGTAGAACTATTCTATAGGAATAGGGAGAAGCTAGAATATTTTCTTATATAACTTAAGACTACCTTTAAGCTTAATCTAGCTAAGTATACTAAAGTAGAAGATAAGGTTATATTTATAGTAATATACCTTAAGGGGGCGGCGTTCTATTAGTTTAAACTAGTATAGGACGACTATCTCGAGTCCTCTAACCCCGACGACGAAACTAAGGTATACTTTAGGAACTTTATATAGTTCGAAATAATAATTAAATAGATCTATAGTATGGTTAATAAAGCTACGATAGCTTCTCGTACTATATATACTCTTAAATAAATAGAATCTATAGTTAATTATTATTTGGAGTTTAAGAAGCTAGTAAAGAAACTAGAATATACGAACGATAATATCTTTAAGGATATATTCTATAATAGATTAAAGAAGGAAGTTAGGAAGGAAATAATAGAGCGCCCGGAAATATATAAAGATATAGTAGATAAAGCTATTAAACTTAATAATCGACTATACGAACTACGTATAGAAGATAATAAAAGGAGGAGCTTAGGAAGACGAGAGTATCGGGAGTATCGATATTCTCCTCGAGCTAATACGAGGCGCCTACGAGACTATAGAAACTCTATAGACCTAGACGCTATAGAACGTTATAATACCCGACGAATAGGCCTAGATAGAGGCCGATATATAGGGCGAAAGGCTATAGACGGACGAGATCGGAAGAAAGAAAGATAAAGAAAGGAAAACCTATACTACGAATATAGTAAGCTCGAATACTATATACGCGATTACCTAGAAAAGAAAGGCGCTCGAGAACTATATATAATAAATATATAGAGCGGTAGTATAGACGGCTTAATAGCGAAAAAGGCCGATACTATTAAAGAAACCTAAAGATCTATCGAAGGTAAGAATAAACTAGTATAAAAGGACTACTAGGAATCGAATAATCCTCGAGGGTTAAGTAAGTTAGATACTAAGCTATTAAAAGAAGGATTCTAATTAAAGTATTAGACTAGAAAGCCTAAAGAATCTAAGTATAAGACTTAGAAGAAAGAAAAGTTCGACGAACTTCTAAAGAAAGAGTAGCTAAGCGAAGTAATATATAATACGAGAAGAAATACTATAAGATACGCTTAAGAATTATAGTATTTCTATTACGAGAATAACTATTCGCTCT